AATGATGTGAATTTAAAAATTAAGTTTAGCCAGATTCAAACCCCTGTCTTTTCAATTACTTCCTGTGCGTCTTAATGCTTGACAAGGAAAAGGATGACAGAATAATAAACAACGCCTTTGAATGGTGATGTTGCAGAAGATTACCAAACATCCCAGGGACTCCAGAGAACAAGTCGAGATGCAACCAAGGTGCCCCTCAGAGGCAAGGATGGTGAATGTGAAACTTCTTCCTCTCAAATAATCTGAGCACGTTTTCAGAAAGGGCCAGCCCTTAGACACAGACATCATGTTGGGAAAGGTGGACGGTCAGTTGAGGAAGACCCTCGACAAGACGGACAGACACAGTGGCTGCCGCAGTGGGCTGGAGCCTGGTGGAGATGAGGGTGGTGAAGGGCAGGGCAGGATTTCAATCTGTTGGTCACAGGGTTGCTGTGAGTCACAGTGAACGCGACAGCACCTGACAGCAAACTTGGAGAGAAGGTATTTTTGTTAATGCTATCTGCTTGTGGTGTTTCTGTTACAGCAGAGATAGAGGAACATTTTATCGTTTTCTCCCACCACTGCCATCAGCTGCACACGCAATGAGATGCATCTATCCCACCATCAAGCTCTGGGGTTCACCTCCTCCTCGGTCTCATCCTCTGCAACCCTGTACGAGTGACTTATCTTTCTTTGACTCTATTTTCCCATCTGGAAAGTGAATAGAGTATTTCTGACTAAGACAAACATGCTAATAGAAGAAAACAGGAAGCATTTACTGATGAAGCTTTGGTACGGATTACAACTCAATGTAATAAAAAGAAAGTCTCCTAAAAGTATCAGTAGGCACCAGCACAATAAAGGAGAAAAGGCATTTCATTTACTTGGATCCATAACCACCACCCATGGAAGCAGCGGTCAGGAAATCAAATGACACACTGCAATGGCCACATCCGCTGGCAAGGACCTTTTCAAAGCACTAACGAAGGAGGATATCACTTTAAAGACTAAGGTGAGCCTGAGTCAAAGCATAAAAAAAAGAGGTATTTTCAGAGGGCGGCGAGGGAAGAAAAACAAACAAACAAAAAAAACCCAGGTATTTTCATTGCTTCATATACAAGTCAAAGTTGGACAACGAATAAGGAAAATCGAACAACTATTGATTTCTCTGAATTGTGATGTTGGCAAAGATTGTGAAATATACTATGAACTGCAAAGGACAAAGAAATCTGAACTGAGAGCTAATGTGTTCCTGACAAAGGAGGGTGAGACGTCCAAACGATTAATCTCTTTTTCAAATCAGTCTCAGGGAAAATTATCTTGCTGGCCCAAGCACTGAACTGAGACACATTTCACTAAGATATGACTGTTTTATGATAGAAACAAGACATCACACCACACTGCCATCAAGTCAGAACCGACTCACAGCTGACCCTCCCGGGGTTTTCATGGTTGGACATCGTTTGGGAGGAGACAGGCCCCTCTCTCTCCCGAGGAGCAGCTGGCAGATTCAAACCACCAGCCTCTGAGCTGGCAGTGCAACTCTTTATCCATTAGGCCACCAGAGCTTAATGGTTAAAGGAAGTAGTAACTCATTAGCAATGAGGCATTTTCTTACCCTTTTATATTCGATGATCAAAATCAGAAACCAGAGCCCCTGGACTTTTGTATGTGCCATAAACACAACAATTTGTCTCTGTAGTGACAGCTTAGTGATGGCCTAGTGGTTAAGCTTGGCCTCTGTAACTGAAAGGTTATTGGTTTGAACCCACACGCGACTCTATGAGTGAAAGGTGACTTCCGTGAGGATTTAGAGCCTTGGAAACCCTATGGTCAGTTCTTCTTTGTCCTACAAGTCCCTCCCATCAGGACGAGTCAGAATCCATGGCGGGCAGAGAGTCACTCTCCATTTTAAAGACCGTGCCCTGCCTTTGATGTCTCCAGCTCCTGTTTCTCATTATTCGTTAATACATCACCAGGGAGGCAAATGCCAGCACGAGGGACTCGCTGGGCACAGCGCTGGTTCATGTTCAGTGAGCGAGGCGGAAATGAATGGTTGTAACATCCTGTGAGGTGATTACAACAAGAGCCAAAAATGCCCTTCCATTGACAAACAAGGAACTCATGAAATATTATTCAAAATGGGTGACTCTGAAGGACATTATGCTGAGTGACATTAAGCTCAGTCAACAAAAGGACAAATACTGCATGGTGGCACTGACGTAAAATGGCACTGACATTGGGGTTCAGGGGAGACTGAGAAAGATGGGATAAATTATGTATACTGCATTGAAACAAATGAGGGAGAGGACTGTTCAAAAGGTATATATGATTAGGTATTATTGTCATGACAGGAGTCCAGAAGGAAGGCTGCACAGTGGAGTGGACTTGAGGGAGGGATTGTATTAACAATGAAAGAATTTTTCCTTTATTTCTCAAAGAGAAGAACAAACTGGAGGGCTGGGCAGGGAGAAAAGTGCAACAATGAATGAATGGAAATCCAAAATCTCTGTAAACTGTCATTAAAATTAATAATAATAATAAAAACATAAAAAAAACCAAAAATGCCCTTCCGTTATAACCAGGAGAATCTGGTCCATCCTCCACATGAATGATGACAGGCGCTCAAAAGCTAACTCTCTGGACAAGTAAGAACAAGACACACGAGCCAAGAGTCTCAGCAACAACAAACTGCTTCCTTGACGCGACTGCAGATTTTAGAGCATGAAGGTTATTTCCTATGAAGGGCAGTTAAGAACACTACACCCTGATACTAAGTCTTAATCAAAGAGATCTGAACATCCTAACTGTTCATCTAAAAATTAAATGGTAACTATGGCTACAGGGGAAAAAGTTTACCAGAGTGAGGCCTAGATAGCTTTGATTTTACATAGAAGGATTTACACAGAATTGATGCCTTTGAGCAGTGGTGCTGGATAAGAGTGTTGAATATACCATGGACTGCTAAGAGAACAAACAGGTTCGTCCTAGAGAGGGTGAGACCATATTGCTCCTTGGAAGCAAGGATTCTGAAGCTTCCTCTGACATACTATGGGCATGTTGTAAAAAGGGACCAGTCCTTGGAGAGGGACGTCATGCTTGGGAGGGTACAGGGACAGTGCAGGAGAGGAAGACCCTCGAAGAGATGGATTGATTCAGTGACTGGGGTAATGGGGGTGGGTGTGTCAGAGACAGTAAGATTGGCACAGGACAGAGCAGAGTTTAGGGCTGTTGTAAACAGGTTCGCTGTGAGTCGCAGTTGTTGACAGTAACAACAATACGAACAACTGACTGCATACTGTATCTTGTTGTTGTGTACTATAGAGTCGGAGGGATCCACAGGGTTTTCAGAGGCAGGTAATCACCCGGGAGGAGATTCCCCTCCATCAGGTGCTCTGCAGGAGATGGGCCTGCGACTCCTAGCGACCCGATGTACAATAGCTCTGCACGCTGCCCTGTCCTGAGCCAATCTCATTGAATCCCACAGACCTAATCTCATTTCTCTAGTCACTGAATGATCCATCTCATCCTAGGTCTTCCTCTCCTGTGCTGTCTCTCCATCTTTCCAAGCATAATGTCCTTCTCCAAGGACCAGTCCCTCCCAGCCACCCTCCACGAAGCTGCTTGGTTATGTTTATTTTATTCGTGTGTGTGTGTGGGGGGGGACCAAACTCAAAACAACAAAAACCCAACAGAAGAAGAGGGTGGCAAGATCTGAAAAGGGGTGATGGGAGAACTACGGAAACTCAAGCCCTGGCAGGAAGGATCCCTACCTGCAGCTGCTGAATGCTCCTGAAGGAAGGCTGCCTGGGCCGGAACTGCCCACTTTCACCCCTAGGGGAAGTTCTGCGTTTCTGGTAAGGACTTGGCTAGAGGGCAAATCCTCCTCTCAACTACAGTAAAAGCTGTGTGGGCTGCGCAGGGGTAGGGGCAGGCAGCACTGCTCCTCAGTCACTACGGGGCTCGAGAATCTTGTCATGGAGGCAATTCTCTGGAAAGAGGGTCTCGAGAGGCCTGGCCTTTTCACTAAGGCTAAGGGTTACAACCCCAGGTGTGCCACTTAACAGCAATATTCCATCAAGGCCGGCTGCTTTTCTCACAACAGCCTCCTGAATTAATGGGAAAATTCCCTCTCATATGTCCTCTAACGTACTTTCTAGACAACAACAAAAAAATGATGAAAGGAAATTTGGGGAGTCCTTGATAGCGCCCCATCCCCACTCCACACAGTGAAAACACTTATGTGCTTCCGTAAGAAACACATACAGTCTTCATACTTAAGACATTCCGTGTAGTTGTTCAGTGAAAAGATACTCAAAGCAACAAAACATATTCGGGCTTACGTAGAATTGACCGACTTTAACTATTAAAGAAGCTGACTTCTGACACACAAATGAGGTGCACCTAAGGTTTTTCGAAGGCTGGTGGCTCTTAGAGGTCTGTAGGTAGCTGTGGTGCTAACCCAAAGGTGACACCGCTCCACAGGTTCAAATCCACAAGCAGCTCCATGGGAGAAACCGGGGCTTCTCCTCCCGTGTCACCTCCAGCCTCTGAACGCCCGGCAGAGGGCCTGAGTCAGCCCATCTCCACGGCACCGGCCTGGCCGGCTTTTTGTGGTGCCATGGTTAAGTATTTTGTTTTAAACCTCCAGCTGCTCCCTGGAAGATGAGGCTGGCTGCTTCTGGAAAGGCTGTTGCACAAAGATTGTTGTCAAGTGTCTAGGAAACCCCACAGGGGAGGTGAACTCGGCCCTGTCGCGTCGCTGTGGGCAGGAACTGACTCAACACAACAGGTATGGAGTGGTGTCACACACAGCTATGTGCCGACACCTACGTTTTCACGGTGAGAGTAAAGTGATCGTTGCCTGGAAGGGACCATGACTGGGGAGGGAGGATATAAGGTAAAAATTACTGCCAATTGTGTCAATCCCTTTTAAATCATTCTTTGGGCCAATTTGTTTTTGCTGCACGGATGGAATCACTGCACTTGGACAACACACGAACCAGAACCACAGGCCCCACCTCTGTGTCCCAGGAATCTTGGAAGGCAGGGTTCCGGCTACTCCTCTTGGTCTGCGGAGGGAGGTGGTTGTCCTCGTCATTCCCATTCCTTCTCCTTTTTCTGAAATCAAGTCACAGGACAAAAAAAAAAAAAAAAGAGATGTAACACCTGCTCTGTGAACAGACTGTAAAACACGTCCTAGTATAAAGGTGCACCCTTGGCTGAGCAAACAATTCACCGCACGGGGTCAGAAGAGCATAACCAGCTGGAGAACAGGCGGCCCTGGAACAGCACAGCGTCAGGGGCCTGAGAAGTGCAGGTTCACGGCCAGGCAGGTTCTGGGAGTCCGAGAGCACCCTGAAACTCAGGCCTTGCTGCTCCCTCACCCGGCCAGTTCCCCAGGCCCCCTTGGCCCTGAGGGGAGAGCTGTGGGCCCCCACAAGGGCACGAGCAGCCTCGGATGCTGATTCATCCCAACACTCACAGCACCTGAGCTCCTGCAACAGCAAGAGGAAGAAAAGTCAGGTGTGTGTGTGTGTGTGTGTACATGGGCCCCAGCCGCCGCCATGCTGCTCACCGGCCCACCCTGCTCTATCAGGAGCCCTGACAAGGGGGCTATCAAACACCAACCAGAAACGGGCTTCTTAAAAGCATCCTGACAATTTTCACTGTTCCTGGGACTAAAGAAAGCACGATGGGGTTAATGACTAAGCTCTCGGATCACTTGCCCTGAAATTACACTGGCCACCCTAACCCCTTCCTGATGCTACCATGTAGGGAAGGTGTGGCTGCCTTTGCCTAATTACCCTTCAAGTTCTTGTAAAAACCGTGCTACCAGGTACTATCATCAGATATTTTCCCCCAGTGGCCTCTGGCTTCCCTCTCCCAGATTATCCCTCAATTATCAGTCAACAGAAGGGCCCTGCCCACCAATGAAATCACCCAAGTGGACAATCACTGGGAAGGCCCTTTTTTTTGGCCGCATTACCCAGTAACCCTTGCTGCCCAAGCTCGCATTAGGACCTCACAGTTAATTACTTTGAGAGTCCAGCCTAAGTTAATTAAAATTTCCACCTTAACAGAAAACCCACAGACTTTTCTCAAAGGAGTCCTAGTGGCCAGGCAGTTGAACTGTCACCTGATAGCGGAAAGCTAAAGAGTTCAAACCCCCAAGCCCCTCCGCGGGAGAGAGAGAAGACAATCTACTCCTGTGAGGATCTCCCTACACCTTGGAAACTCTATACATATATATATGTAAATCAAGTGCTGTCGGAAGGACTGGCGAGAGGTGCTATTTTAAAACAAACTACCTAGAAGCACACCATGGGGTTAGTTAAGTCTAAATTATTACAAGAAAGTGAAATAGTCAGTTGTTTATTTGCACTAGCCAGCCGCCTGTGGCCAGCGGCCGCGGTACTAGCCTGCCTGGCAGAAGATGCTGCAGAAGGCTGGCCTGGACAGCACTGGCGACGCGCCCCCAGCACGGCCATTACCTAATAAGATGAAAACTCCCAGAGGGTCCTATTTCTGTAGCGAGGGCGCAGAAGTGGGGGGAAGCAGCAGCTGAAGGTGGTCAGCACCTCCCAGTTACGGTGCACGAGGAGCAGAACAGCCTAAGGAACAGGCCCTTAATGGGTCTGGATATTAGACAAACTCTAAAAACTAAAGGGTTTGGCACCAATTCCCTGCACTCACGCATTCTGATGAAGTCCTGTGATAACTCTGGTTTAAACGTGGCCATATTTGGGGGGAGGCGTTTGCTTGTGATCAAGTTTTAATCAACATGTACTGGCCTATGCTGTTTACTTCACTCTAAAACGCAGTCAGCTGGTTTTCAAATAAGATTGTCATTTCTGCTCCCTGCTTTCTCCCCAGGGATGCAATTGTACCTAAACATTATTTCCAGGTTGTAGGAGGTTAAAGCCTAGCTGGCGACGGAGTTCTAGTCATCACTAAACGGGCGTCTGTAGGAATCGGGGTACTGTTAGAGGGCGTCCCGGCAGGGGCACACACTCCAGGAAGAAGGTGAGGTGCAGGCCTGTGCCCTCCTCTACCTCCACGAGGGGGGATCACTACCAGCCCAAGGCTGGCTACTGAGGAGGCCACACACGACCCCACCCTCCCACTTTCTCACCAGTTCTCCCACCAGCTGCCCCTCACGGCCCTCACTACTTCCCTGGTTCCATGACTCTGCAATGGCCACACAGAACAGACTAGATTCACAGGGAGGGGTTTATTAGCAAGTGACAGGTTACTGTACAATTCAGGATCAATCAGAGTCTGGTCGCCCAGCCCTCTCTGAGCTGTGGTGGGAAGTGCCTGGAGGGCACGCCAACTCCACTAGAGAGCTCAGCCCAAAGGCGATCGGTGGGCTCACTCTGTGGGCCACCCGCACTCTTAACAGGCATGCCCTGTGGACCACCCATCTCTCAAAGGTCCTGCTGTGGTCACTGCTCTGCCGCTGTTTCTCACAGTCCCTGGCTTTAGAGTTCTGTCTCCAGGGCCCAGGAGGTTCCGAGCACAGGGATCCCTGGGTCTAAAGGACCAACTCTGCTTCCATCTCTTCTTTATGATGGCAAGGCCCCTCCTGTCCGTCTCCCAGACGGCTCATTTAAAACTCAGCAGGAGAGTAAAATGGAACGATCCCTGATTAGGATCATACACACCTTATATGCACTGTCCCAGCCCCCAAGGGTATTATGCACCTTATCTACTACACTGCTCCCAAGCTGTCCATTCCCTTGTTGGGCCTCGTCGTGCCCTATCACCTGGAAGTGACCAGCTTGTGGCAGGACAGCCAGGAAATTCATCACACCACACCTGCTCAAGGAGACATTCACCCAACAGTGGTACACTGGCCACAAAATTGTTATTTTATCCTGTACCAAATGCTGTATTCTCGGCTGCTGGGTCAAGCTAAGCAAACCTAAAATCCATCTTCTTCTTTTATGTCGGGAGACATTTTTTTTGGTTTTTTGTTTGTTTGTTTGTTTTTAGTAACCACAACATCAATGTCAAGGCTGTTAAAACCAGGCTAGGTGTTACCGAGTCAGTTCTAACTCATGGTGACACCCTGTGTGTCAGAGTAACACAGTCCCCTAAATGGTCCTCAGCGGATGATTTTTCAGAAGTAGATGCCAGGCCTTTCTTCCAAGGCACCTGTGGGTAAATGGGATCTGCCAGCTCATTGCCAGCTGCAGGATAATTTGCTAACTATCTGTGCTACCTGTATCAAGGAGGTAAAGTACATGTTTAAAAAAAAAAAAAAAAAGTAAAAAAATGAGGGTCTAGTTTTGAGGATTTTCATTAACCTTAGGGAAAGTAACATGAAATGTCCCTACTTCATAAGCAGAGTCCATCTCTTAGTGCTGGAGAAGCTGCTCCTTGGATTGATGGTGGCCCTTTCCTTTGGAGAGAACTGGCTTGAGAATGCACACTGCCTAGTCTTCCTTCTCCTATTCCTAGGCTCGGTAGATCCCGTCCGTGAGATAGTCTTCCTTTAAAATACTGTTAATAATTGGCAAGATTACAGCTTCAGCGTCCACCCAACTGGTACAATCAGTCAGATCACAGCTTTGGACATTAAAGCCACAGACCATGCTCGAGTTTCAGGAGACACCTCATACTTGACTAGGCATTTTCTCCAGCCATCAAGTTACAGAGTGCTTAACACCTGTTACTTCTACGGAGGGCTTATTTCATCACTTTCCATAATTGCATTTCTCGCTAATCTTCCCATCATCTCCTGAGTGTATAAGAAATCTGATGTAAACTCGGGAGGTGGGGGGGGGAGCTTCCAAACTTTCTTTTTTAAGTAGCAAAACACTTCTTACTAAAAACAACAAAGTAACTCAGTTTATATAAAGACGAAGATAGGATCTGCACACGCTCAGCATTCTGTGGCCACCTCAAAAGATCGGGGCAACTTGGGTACCCACGATTTTACACCATGCCTTCCTCTGGGAAGTGAAGTGACCTGCAGAGACTTTGGACAGCCAGAGCTAGGCGGGCAGATCCACTGTACCCACCGCACTGGGAGAAAGGGGAGGTAAAGGAGGCCTTGTCCAAATCAAACCACCCCTTTCATCTCAAGAAACGACCAGCAAAAAGACGCTCAATTATGTGTGCTTGACAAGGGAAACATGCCACCAATATAAACACACTGACTTTTCTTGTACAGTTTGGGGTAAAGGGATCTGTTTTGGGGTAGAAAATATTTAAGGCTTTCCCCTCACACACATTTTAAAAAAAAAGCATGAGAAGTACAAATCAGACTTAGGTAGAACCAAGATATGGAGCTCAATCAGGGCTTACTCTTAAAGATCCTGTCCCTCAACCCTGCACCATGTGGGTAGCTGGCCTTTAGTGTCTACTTCTGACCCAAGCAGAGGCTTGAGGCTCCTCTGATCGCTATGGCAACACGCACCCTCAGGGAGCCTCTGGAATCTCTTATCTCAGGGTCCACAGCAGGGACCAACGAAAGTTGACCAATTGCATTCAGGGTCAATAAACCACAGAGCCTCTGTGACCTACGTGACAACCTCACTCCTCTAAGTCTTACTGGAACTATTAGGGATTAAAGCAACAGAGCGCTGAACCTGGAGGGTCACTGGGCAATCCACTGACCCCTCTCAGAACTCTCTCCCCACCCAGAAAACCAAAGGGTTGGGCTGATTGCTAAGTGTTCGAATTTCCTAAGGAGGTTTGTGTTCTGGTTTTTGTTTTGGTTTCTTTTCTGCATTCAAAATTAGGCCGATCCTCATCCTTCTGGGGTACCTGACCCCAACTTTCTCCTGTCTACTTTCTTGCAGAGGAAAATGGGGCGGGATGGTGGTTGTGTGTGTGATGTGGACTACAGCAAAGAAACCCTAGCCTACCCTGGCCTCTACTCAGTGCCTGTCAAGCAGGAGAAACTGCTAGGCCAGGTTCAGTGCTAGGGCGCTGCATCCAGGGAGATGGGGGCTCCCGCCCCCCCCCAGAGCAAACGGCTGGGAGGCCGGACAGTTTAGAATCCCGCCTGTCCTGAGTGTCAGACTCCCCAGCGAGCTGTGGTCACTAGCCCATGGGGCTGGGGTCACTAGTGGCCCATCGGCGCTCCCAGCTTCCGGGGCACGAGTCCGTGGGGGCTCCCCAAACCTTCCCTGCTGCAGGATGAACCCCGATCCTTTCTTGCTGACCTTGGGGAGGCGCCAGCTCCCCGCCCTGTCCCCTCCCCGGCGCCCCAAAAGGCTCCTCCACCGAGATTCCGCCCATCCCCCCCCCCCCGCCTCAATTTAGGGCAGAAAAGGCATCCGGAGGGTCACTCACTCTCTTCCACGGACGATCAGACCGGGTGCCAGCTGCGAACACCAAGGGGGGAAGAAATGCGGAGGGGGACGAGCCGGACTCCGGAGAGTCACTTCCCCGCTGGCCACGGGGGCCAGGTGTGCGGCCACTCGCGCATCCCTCTCCCCTCCTCCACTGGACTGCAGAGCCCCCCACACGGACAGCAGCCGCATCCAGGCCAGCTCGGACCTCCGCTCCGCGCGCCCCATCGGCTCCATCCCACCCCCGATCACCGCAGGAGAAGCTAGAAGGCAGGGGTCCCGGGCTCACCTGGGGCGGAGGCGCTCGCTCATGGTAATCGGCAGAGGGGAGCGCCGCGGCGCCGCTTCGTGCAAGGAGGGAACAGAGGCCGGCGTGCTCCGGCAGCCGCCACGCCCACCCCCTCGGGCCTTGCCTCTAGCCGCCGCTCGGGTGGATGCAGCCGGCGCAGAGTACCCCTCGGCCGGACCCGTACCCCCGCTACTTCCGGCGTCTCCTCCGCGCCCCCCCATGTCGCAGCCACCGTGGTCCCGCCCTCTCGCGCCTGCGCACTAGCGCGCGCCCGCAGGCGCCGCGCGCTGGCCCCGCCCACCGGAAGTTGCGACGCGGGGAGGGTGGAAGAGGCGGAGCATCCGGGAGCCGCTGGAGAATGGGCCTCCTGAGGGCTGGCCCCGACTTTCGCCTGTGCATAATTAAGGTGAGTCGGATGCAAGTCGAGCCAAGGCTTGGTGACATCTGATTATGACGTCAGCACAGATCACAAAGATGTGTGAAGCGAGGCCTTGTGAGGTCAGACTAGAGCGGAGCGCGGTCAGGCAGTTGCAGAGACAGCCTGCTGCGGGGTCCTGGGACGGAGAGAGGTGGGGGGGAAGGGGTCCGCGAGGCTGTTCGGAGGGGGCTGCCTGGGCTTTTAAACCTTGAGGTTACCAGCTCCGGAGTTGGGTGCAGAGGAGATCTGGGGGAGCCTGTCCTGCAGCAAGTGAGAAGAGATCAGATCGGGTCCTGGGACCAAGCCGCGGGGGTGCCCGGCGGTGTCCGACCACCCCCGCCGGGAGCAGCCGCACAGCTGTCATAGAAAGTGAGGGACCAGGGAGGGCACGCAGGGTCATTGCGGCGGGAGGAGGGAGATCCGGGTGGAGATGGAAGGAGGTGTGGCAGAGATCGGCCATGTGCCCGGTGGGCTTGGCCAGCTTCTTAACCCTGTGCTTTCCAGAACATCACTGGGGAGCTGTCTGCAGACAACCCTGCATTTGTTTCTAGGAGGAGGTGCGATCAGGGGCCTTCTTAGAGCCAAGCATGGTGAAACTTCATTTCACATATGGTGGGGGAAAAAATTAACATGCTGAAAAGGTCAGCAAAGAAAGGACAGCCCTCGAGGAGATGGATCGACGTAGTGACCATAGCAGTGGGCACAGGCATGTCGTAGATGTGATTTGGACAGAGCAAGACTCAGATCCGTTGTTTATAAGGTCGTTATCAGGCATGTAGATGTGATTTGGAGCAGGGCAGAGCAAGACTCAGATCCATTGTTTATAATAAGGTCGTTGTCAGTCGCAGCAGCTCTTAACCTCATGATACGTTGGTACACTTTGCAAAGCAGTCGAGTGGAATTGCCTCTCTGTATCTTCTGCAGGCTGACGTTTAAAGATCGTTTCATCCTGCCATTCCTGGAGACGGTGATCTGGAAGTATGGCGAATCGAGAGAGACCATAGCCAAATTAGAATCTTCCTCCAAGAGGCTGAGTAAGAAATAGGCCCCCACGTTAAGACTTGGCAGTGTAAGTAGACCAAATTTTCCCAGGAGTTTCAATGTGGTGTGGAGTGGTATAGAGGAAGAAAGGTGGACCAGACCGCAAGGTTCTTCTCGCTGAAATTAACAGTGAGTGGGTGTGATCACGGGTGTGTATTTTTGTTAAGGGTTTCTAACTTTCATCATATTATCAAAGGTTTTATCAAATGACTTGCTAAAAAAAAAACAACAACAACTAAGCTGTTGGCGAAATATGTGGCTTTGTAAAATAAGGTGCATTGGTTGCTTTGATAATGGTTTAACCTAATTGTGTTTACTTATTTTATAAGTCATTTCAGAAATCTTAATTTTTCAACCTACTTAGCAATCAGGTATTTCCACTCAGCAGTTTATTACAATCATATTTGTGTGTTTATGGCTACAGAAAGCATTCACTCAGCAGATATACCAGGCTCTGTGCCAAGGGATCGGGCAGGGTTTGCTGTGTTGTATACAAGGCCGTTAGGATTTAGACTCAGCTTGATGGCCCCTAACAATACCAGGCACAGTGCTAGGATTTTGAGAGTACAGCTGGGTTCAAGAATAGACATGGCCCTTGCTCTCTGGTTCTTATAGAAAAGACACCCACTCCCATCAAATTGATTCTCATAGCTTCTCTCCGTAGAGTTTCTGAGACTGTAAATGTTTATGAGAGAAATCTGCCCGTTTTTCTCCCTCAGAGCAGCTGGTGGGTTCAAACATCTGACCTTTCAGATCTCAGCGGAATGCTCGTAACACATTCAGCCAGTGGACCTCCTTCTTGTTGTTGTTGTTGTTATGTGCCATCGAGTCGCTTGCGACTCATAGCGACCCTATGTACAAGAGCTCTATACGCTCTTCTATCCTGTGCCAACCTAGCCATCTCAAACGCACTTATTCCCACCTCTCTAGTCACAGAATTGATATCCATCTCACCAAAGGTCTTCCTCTCCTTTGCCACCCCTCCACTCTGCCAAACATGATGTCCCTCTCCAAGGACCAGTCCCTCCTTGCAACATGCCCAAAATATGTCAGACGAAGCTTCAGAATCCTTGACTCCAGGGAACATTTTGGCTTCGCCCTCTCCAGGACAAACCTGTTTGTTCTCCTAGCAGTCCGTGGTATATTCAACACTCTTCTCCAGCACCACAGCTCAAAGGCATCAATCCTCTTTCTATCAACCCTATTCACTGTCCAACTCTCTGATGCATGGCATGAATTGCAAAGACTATAGCCGGGATCAGGCGCACCTTAGTCTCCATCCTGACATCATTGCTTTTCAGTACTCTTGAGAGGTCCCTCACAGCCGGCTTTCCCAATGCAATTCGTCTCTTGGTTTCCTGGCTGCTGTTACCAAGAGTGTTGACTGTGGAGCCAAGTAAACTAAAACTGTTAACTATCTCAGTCTCTTCACCATCCATACTGATGCTGCCAATTGGCCCAGTGGTTAGAATCTTTGTTTTCTTGATGTTGAGCTTCAGTCCATATAGGAGGCTGTAGTCCTTGATCTTCTGCAGCAAGTGCTTCAGGTACTCCTAAGTTTCAGCAAGCAGAGTTGTGTCATCTGCATAACGCAGGTTGTTGATGATTCTTCCACCAATCCTGATTCCACATTCCTCTTCGTATAGCCCAGCGTCTCGGATGATCTGTTCTGCATACAGATTGAAAAGGTGTGGAGACAGAATACATCCCTGACGAACCCCCTTCTTGATTTTGAACCATGTAGTGTCTCCTTGCTCTGTTCTGACAACTGCCTCTTGGAAATGTAAAATAAAGATCATTGGGTTGAGATTTGAAGTGAAACATTTCCTTTTTCTGACTTGAAAAGAGAGGTACAAATCACCACATGCGTTGTCAGTTTTGAAAACTGATCAAAAGTAAACAAATTCACCAACAATCCATTGTTTTCCAGATTGCTGGTTAAGAATTTCGGATCATACATAACACCATTGTTATAAAGTAGGACAGACAGGGAGGGGGGTGAGAGGACTGGGGAGAGAATGGGAAAAGAGTGGATTGATAATGAACACTGCAATAGAACAGATGAGGTGACGAACTGTCTGAAAGGAATAGATGATTAGTCATTATACATATGATAAGAGTCTAGAGGGTGCATTGTGAAGTGTGATGGGGGAGGAAATGTATAACAATGAATTTAAAAAAAGAAAAATTTCTAAAAAAAATTTAGGATCACACCTTCTTTTCTAGATATATTTACTTATTTGTATATGATAAAACCCCAAACCTGCTGCCAAGTCAATTCCAGTTGATTAAAACCCTGTAGAACAGCAACAGACACCGTAGGGTTTGCAAGTCTGTGAATGTGTAAAAGAGCAGATGGCCACACCTTCCTCCTGTAGAGCAGGTGGCTGGTGCAACCGCAGCCTCTCAGATAGTAGACAGTTGTTTACTTACTGAGCCGCTAGGACTCCTCATGTATATAGTATACATACATATTATACACGCTTATAGCTATAAATTCTTGTAGGTCGTATAGCCCTGGTGTGTCCACTTGCCGTACAGAGGTAACTTGTGGTCGCCGTGAAGCTGAACACTGTGACACTGCTTGTCAAATGCGATAATGGCTACTCATGGTGGACAGTGTTTGGTGGAGCTGCCCGATTAAAACAAGCTTGGAAGCAGGAGCGGCATCCACCTCCATAAATAGCTTGCCTACGGAAACCCTATGAACCTGGAGAAAGGATGAAAGTCCCTAATGAGTCACCTACGACTCAACTGCACTTAACAACAACATAGCTATAAAGGACTCCTGGTGGTGCGGTGATTAAGCCGGTAACTCGAGAAAGCAGTCCTGTATGATGAGGTTGCTGTGCATTGACTCAGTGTGTTGCAGACCGAGGGTAAAGTAATTATTAAGAATGAGACAGAGAACCAAGAATGAGATAAGTGAGAGTAAAGACAGGGGGCCAGCAGTCCTGATGACTGGAGCGAGCGCCCACGCCATGCCTCTCTGTGTACTGAGAATCATTAGGGAGGTAAACAAGGGATCATCACAAGGAAGTAGAAAACAAAAACAAAGGACCATGGGGAAGTCTTTTGCAGATAAGGAGGAGTTCTTTGTTCTTCACCTTATGCTAATCTCAGGAGGGAGGGATACAGTAAATACAAACCAAGACAGAGGTTGCCTTTTTTAAAATTTTTTATTGTTACTAATTTTAGTGAACATTTACAGAGACTTTGGATTTCCATTCATTCATTGTTGCGCTTTTCTCCCTGCCCACCCCTCCCCCCATGATGTTGACTCTTAAGGAATGCCTTCGTGCCTCAGGGTGAACGCCAGCTTGTATTACGCCTCCCTCATATCCTGATACAGCATTTGGTTTATTATTAATATTCAATTGGATAGTCGGCTTCCCACAGCAGTGGGTTTGATTGCTGGTTTTGATGTGTGTGAATGTCTGTAAGTTGTCTTCTTGGTTATCTGGTCCTATTTTAACAGAGATACCAGAGTAGAAGGCTTTAACAAAGAGAACTTTATTTTCTCACCAGTTAGGAGGCTAGACGTCTGAACTCAACGTCGCCAGCTGTCGAGGAAGGCCCTCTCTGTGTCTGTCCTGGAGGAAAGTCCTGGTTTCCTTCGGCATCTGTGGGAGATCTTTGCGATCTCCATGCCTCTTGGCCTTCCTCAGCGTTTAGGAACTCAAGTCCATAAGGACACACTCTACTCCTGGCGTGTTTCTTGATGGTATTAAAGTTCACTCTCCTCTGCTTTCTTCTTTCACCTTTTATTCCCCTCCCCACCCCACCCCCGAGACATGCTATATGAAGCATAAGAAGTTTGTCAGTGAAATGCTACCATATTGAGGTTATTATTTGGGAGATACAACTTGGAAGAAAGAGCCTCATCCCACCAAGTGCCACCAGAGAGTATTTCTCAAAATCCATCATACCTAACAAAAATGTTAAAATAGCAGTTCAGCACACTATTGAAGGGCAGAAAATACACCCTCTCCCCCGACTTTATCTATCAAAATCTTAATATAATCCCATTATGAAAAGGTTTAGGTTGTTAAAAAGTCTGTCTCTTGTCATTGATTGCTTCCTAGAAGACTTTAAGAAATGTCAAGTACAGAAAGAAAACAAGCCAGGAATATTTCCTTTTAGGACTAATTCCTTTTTTTAATCAAGGGAAAGAATTTTTATTTTAAAGTCAAATCGTATCTTCTGCGTTTTGCCCTTGTAAGAACAAAGATCAAGAAAAAATTTTAAAATTTCTTTCAACCTATGTTATCTCAACTGAACTTAAAAAGGTATAAGACATAGTTAAAACGTAGGCTTCTAAGTCACCAATTTGTCTGGTCTTTTTAACCACACACTGGCCTTTTTCAGGAAGAAGATGACTGGCCCGCCGCCCCGAGTGGAAGTGTGTCCCTATTGTAAGAAGTCGTTTAAGCGGTTGAAGTCCCACTTGCCGTACTGCAAGATGCTAGGAGCGTCCACACCTGTTGATCAGAAAGTCTCTCAGTTCAAGCCAGCTACACTCTCTCATCCTCACCAAAGGAAGGGGCCAGTCAAAGACTTAATTAGAACTGAGGAAAATAATCCGGTGAGAGAGAGGGGGCTAAAAAATACCAAGTGGAGAGAAGACAGCTCTGAAGGGACAGTTAAGACCTTTCCTCTACGAGGATCGGAAAAATCAAGTAATCAAAAAACAGGTGGAAACATCAAGAATCAAAGTCAGTCCTCCCTGAACATAGTGGAAAACTCTGGACCAAAAGGGACTTTCCAGAGACAGACGAAGACGCAGCCTTCTGCATCAGTAGTCACTTCAGAGAGAAAATGTGCCAGAGATTTGCCTCAATCAGGAGACAGCAGAATTAATTCTTCAGAAGCAGAAGCATCTTTACTGCTTGACTTAAGGGAGCCCTCTTCATCAAGTCAAAATAGAAAATATTCTTCAGCCTTACCTAAGGATGTTCCAGTCCCATCAGATAATCTGAAATTGGACAGGAGTCTCCCAAGACAGGAGCTCCCAATGAAACCGTTAGACATGCCTGTTGATAATTCTCCTTCTCCCATGAACCTCGGTGATGGGGCAGCCAGGGTGTCAATGTCATGGTCAAGCAGTGAGAGAGACCCCAAAGCTATAAGAAAGTCTGAGACTGGGGAAAAGAACCCAGAATCACTCATTTTAGATCTTCAAGTCAGCCCACCGGGTCAAACCCGAGTGGAGGAGAGCAAGGAGGTTGTGCTTGGCTTGAAGGAGAAAGGACATCACCTTCGTGTCAAAGTGCATGGGAGAACCGGTAACGCAGAGAGAAGTCTGTCTGGGAGAGAAATGCCTTCTCTGAGCGAGGGCACTGAGCGCTCCAGGGCTGCTGCCTTGGTCACGGGGAAGGTAGTTCAAAATGCAGGCCCTGATTTAAAGCCGTCTGTTCCAGGGGGCACGGCTGGCAACCCGCCCCTTTCTGTATCACAGCCTCATCGCCCAAGCCTTACCTCTCTGGCTCTGCAAATTCTTCAGGAGGAGAAAGCAGGTTCCCGCCACCATCATCAAGAGGCTGGTGTTCAGATGTTAATGGACAGTGAGAAACAGGCTGCCCTGGAACTCAGATCCAGCCCTCACCACCCAGCATCCCACACGGGGCACCCGAGACTTCCTCATTCCTCCTGGCATCCCACAGCTCAGGCGCCCTTCACCAGCCCTGTGGGAGCTGCAGACAGAAGGGTCCATCCCAGCTCCATGGGGCTCGAGTGGTTTTCAGAGCTCTATCCTGGTTATCTAGGACTTGGGGTGTTGCCAGGGAAACCCCAGTATTGGGGTGCAGCAGTCTCATGGCCTCCGGTCCTCAGCCACTCCGAGGAAGGACTCTCAGAAGGTAAACAAGCCCATGTTCTGGAGGGTTCCTGCTGATTCAGAACCCGCTGTCTCTTTGGGATAATTAAGGTTCACATGCTAATACTGTTTACTCATTTAGATAATCTCACTCACTGAACTTGTAGTTGTTCTCAAATTGTGGCTTCTTGCTCCCTGGTCAGCAGCCATGGTTTCTCACCCTCCTTCCCCCTCCGCCCAGAGGAATTGTGGTAACAGTTGAGCACTGGAAAGAGACATGGCCAGTAGACACTGGATACATGTTGTTGTTAAGTGCCGTCGAGTCGTAGGCGACTCATAGCAACCCTGTGAATGAAAGTCCTCAACACTTGTGTGACTTTCATCCTTTCTCCAGGTTCATAGGGTTTCCGGAGGTAAGCTACTTACAGAAGTGGATGCCACTCCTGCTTCCAAGCTTGTTTTAATCGGGGAGCTCCACCAAACACTGTCTGCCATGGGTAACCATTAGCGCATTTGACACATCAGTGTCACAGTGTTCAGCTTCACAGCTACCACAGGTTGCCTCCGTACAGCATGTGGACAGACCAGGGCTGTACTACCTAGAAAAATGTTTGACCAGCATTCTCCCTGAAGGCCATGAATTAAAGTCACCCGCCTTTGGCTTGGTAGCATCACTTTCTGTCCACTAGGCCAACTGAGCTCTATGTTGTTGTTGTTGTTAAATGCCATCAAGTGCATAGTCAAGACAAAAATAACGTTAAACCTTCAAAATCTACCTGAGTAGAACAAGTACTTTTGTTTATGTTGTTGTTGTTATGTGCCGTCGAGTCGCCTGCAACTCATAGCGACCCTATGTACAACAGCCCTAAACTCCGCTCTGTCCTGTGCCAGTCGCACTGTCTCTGACACTCCCATCCCAATTATCCCAGTCACTGAATCAGTCCATCTCATAGAGGGCCTTCCTCTCCTGCGCTGTCCCTCCACCCTCCCAAGCATGATGTCCGTCTCCAAGGACCAGTCTCTCCTCACAACATGTCCAAAGTATGTTAGATGGAGCCTCAGAATCCTTGCCTCCAAGGAGCTACCCAGTTTAACCCTTTCCAGGACAAATCTGTTTGGTTTTGTTTATAGTTTTATTTAAACCAGATTGTACAGGAGATAGGTCCCAGCAATAATTTAGGAATTGGGTAGCTCAGGGCAGCCGTTTGGGAAGCTGGGAGCAAGACGGTTACTCCACCTGGCCAGCACCGAACGGCATTCAAGGCAGATAGGCAAGTGGACCTTCATTCAGGACATGAGCTGATGAAGATCGGTGACCGGAAACCAGGAGGTGGCCGAAAAGGTACAGAAGTCCCTGTACCCAAAACCCCAGACTACAGATTCGGACTGAGGATAGGGTAGCAGAATGTCTGGGCACACCCAGAGATGGAGCCCCAAGATGTGAGAGAAGGGGAAGAAGAGAGATGTGGAGAGAGACAGGCCATGCAAGCTGACCTTGACGGTGACGCGGCCTCTTCCAGAGCCTTGAGATTCTCCTTATCCGTAAACCAAAACCAGACACCCCACCACCACCACCCCGCCTGAAGGCTGAATCTGACTCAGCGTGCCCCCATAGGACAGGGCAGAACGCCGCTGTGGGGTTTCCAAGACTGATCTCTTCTTTTTTTTTTCATTGATGACAATTTACAGAGAGTTTGGATTTCCATTCATTCATTGTTGCACTTTTCTCCCTGCCCACCTCCTATGAGGCTAACAGGGAAGGAATGGAATCTTTCCAACCATACAGTTCCTCAGAATAGTGCTAAAAAACTTTTATTGTTGACAGTCTCATACTCGTATCAGAATCAATTGGCATTTCTGTATCACACAGCATAGAAGTCTAATGTTTAATGGTCTAATGTTTTCAGAATGACTTGGACAGGCAACCAACCTAAAGAAACTCAGAATAGGTTTACATGTGTAAAACAGGTCGAACCTGGTCTCTAAGGTCAAGTTGATTGCATCCTTTTCCCCATTAAGCCACATTATAGGACACACCTTCAGAGCCGCACAGGGCTCCGCGTGTCTTCGTGTGTTTTTAATTGTGCAGACACATAGACACACAGCGTAATCAGTCTTAGAGTACGATGGTGCACAAGCCGGACTCGGCCTCAGAACACGAGAGTCAGACCTGAGCAGGAAGGGCTGTTGTAGACTAAGAACCCCTTTAGGCTTTAATCAAGAAAACCATAGGAGTCACTTGCAGGCAGAGACACAGGGTTCAGTCCTATGCCGAGGACTCAGGCTCCTGCAGAGAAACAAGGTTTTAAAGGTCTAGAGGCTGCGTGTAGATCCTCAGCCTCCGTACAGAGCGGGGCCACTGGAGGCTTAACCATGACAGCTGGGCTCGAGCAGTAAGCGTCTTAACTTGGCCACTGAAGGAGTCTCTAGGAGATAGAGGGGCAGCATGAGCGGATCTGGGTCCATGGACACCGTGTCCTAGAGACAGAACGCGTCAGGCTGTCAGGGAGAAGTGTCACCCAGCGTGCTCGGTCACCGCCAAGAAGACAGGGCAGTGACAGGGCTCCTGGTGGCCTCAGGACTGGGGCTGTTTAGATGAGCCCAGGCCAACCGACTAGAGATGAGACCGCAGGTCCAGGAGGCCCGCGGTTCCCGAAAGTGCTTGGACATTCACTGTTGTCAGATGCTTTAAATTTTATTTTATTATTTTTGTGTGCGTGTACCATCAAATCAGATCTGACTGGTACAGGAGGAGATTGTCCCTCCTTCCCCCGCAGAGCATCTGGTGGGTTCGAACCAGGCGCCTCTGGGATTGTAGTTGCAGTTCCTTGCCACTAGGCCACCAGAGCTCCCCCAACACTTGCTGTTTTCATAGAGTTGTTCCCTTACCCCTTGTTTTGGGACAGGCTTTCCCCCGAGGTGACTGAGTTGTGTCATGCTTGTTTAATGTGCTCATACGTTAGCAAGATAATGACTGTCTCTGATTTCCTGGACGCCAGCGTGGTTCTTCCATCATTTGTTAGAGTACTGGTCATTTGGAT